ATTAAATGCCACAATCTATTAAAGTGGTTTTGAAGGTAACAAGCCATTCTGGTACCCTATAAGTGTAGTTGTTCTAGGAAACTCTTCCTCATGCACACCCCGGCCACAGGGCTACATGTTTTACTTGCTTCAACAACTGACTATGTTTTTCATGTTTTAATTAAACACAGTTTCACATCAGAGCAACCAGCACAAGAAGGGGTGTGTGTAATTTTGTTCAACATGCCTTTTTGTAGCTATTATGAAAAGACACACAATTTTCCGCTAATCAAATATGGCATGTTATCCATGCAGGCTAATTTCCCAGACAGAAAGCTAATAGACTTAACAGACTATTTAAAAAAGGTCCAAATGATAACAAATGAAAGGCTTTACATCCTACTGTCAGTGCCTGCACCTGCATTTACATCAAATGCAAATTAAGCTGCCTGACTTTAAGCTCTGATGAGCTACTTTTCCTTTTGTTACATTTTCTGAATTTGTTAAAAAAAATCCTGCTATACCTTAGAGATTAGCACTCATATTTGTGAGAGAATTCCTCTGTAACTGTGCATCTAAAGCAATACACTGATTCATGCAGGGTAACTTTTAGTGCTGCCATCCTTTCACATCTTTTATTACAGATGTCGGCCAGCATTCAACCAAAATCTAATGCAATGCCCTTTTCTCTGAAGACCTTGCACATTACCTGCCTTGCAGGAAAAGAGTCATTCTGGTTTAGTCAGTATGTGACTCATTCTGACTCACATTTGTATATTGCATTTCCATCATCTTGCTCTAAATTTTCTTTTTTGGGGGGTTATGGGGAGGGTAAAGGAGTGACAAATAAATATATATTCCAATTGAAAATACACTTTATTTTGAGAAAACATGCTCTTGTTTATCTATAATGTTAAGTGGCTGTTTTAGTTGGAATATATTTTTTTAATGCAGTGGTCACATGGGATAAAAGTGCACAGTTTTTAATTAAAGCCTTAGTTGCATTAGCAGATTACAAGTAACAAGTTTCAAACTGAAAAATGTCTGTTTTTTTTCAGACGCCACCCAAGCCAGTCTGTAACAAAATGATTAAACATTAATAGTGCAGTGGATGGCTTTTTCCCGTCTCACTTTCCCGCGGTGCCAAGACAAACAAGAGGGATAGCGTTACAAAAGGACCATCCATCTCTGAGCAAGACACCCTCCAGGGGTTCATTGAGAATGTGGGCTGAGATTTTTCTTTCTTTTTGTTGCTGGCTATGTGGGACAACACAGCCTCACTGCTGATGCTATGACTCATATTTTTGATTGAGATTTAAAATTTTACAATCTGCATGTATCCAGAGAGGGATAAATGAGGGGGGAGGTTGTTGGTGGTGGTTATGTTTGTAGGGTTGTAGACCAATAACAAATCTAAATGTTGCTTTTGCTGCTGTGTTGACTTTTGATCCATCTTGTTTGGGAAACCTCCCCAAAACAAGATAATAAAATGATTATCTATTGATAAAAAAAGTTTTTATTTCATACAAACAAGATGAGTTCACTGCCTCTTAAATTCCTGCAGTTTATTTTGATTTATCCCTCACTACATATCTCATTGATACAAACCTAACCACGATCTCACCAATGGGCATCCATTAAAACTAGTGTTGCACCGATACCGATACCAGTATCGGACGGGGCCCCGATACCACCCTAAAATGGTGGTATCGGTATCGGCGAGTACCAACAAATAGGGCACCGATACCATTTTGAGAGCCATAAGTTTATTCAACTATTGTCACCCACTCCTGGTAGACAATAAAAAGTTCTACTGGATTCACTTTGTA